ACCACGTGGAGCCGGTGAGGCATCAGCTGTGCCTGCTCATCACTCACCCTGTTACCAGGGCGGGCTCCAAACCGCAAAACAAATCCATATAGTGTGAGTTTTTCTAGTTGCGTGCGCGGTCGTAATACCGGGCTATAGTCTGGATACAGATGACATGCCAACACTATTGATTTTGATCTCCATTTCCTTCCCTCACCCTGCCCTTTTTGTACGTTCGATTTTGTCATTAAGCAAATTGGATTTGATCCTACTCAGTGCCAACCGCAGGACAGCAGCTAAATGATGCTGCGCCATCAGCACTTTAATGCACACTCATAACCCGAGGAAGCCAGCGTCCCTTTGCTCTGACCACTTGATGCCTCTTGAGACCTGAATGAACTCCCGCTTTGCTCATTTGAAATGTAGAGCTCTTTTACTGCTGCTCCCTCTTAGCCTCTCACAGATGAAACATTCACTCTGGATATACCGTAATGAAATCTGATCACATGGTCGGCGTGGGTTTAACAGGGCTCTGCGGATGGAGTGTTTTGTGTGTGCTCTAAATCCTCTCAACCACCTGTGACACTGTAACCAGACCAAAATGAATGCCAGATGGTAAAAGGAACATGGACGTTCTTGTTATGAGTGCAGGCGAGGTCAGCAAACATCACACACGGTATTGACTGGCCTACAGAGATTACTACAGCTTGGTCCCACAAAGGTCAGCGTCAGTGTGCTAATTTTAAAATCTGTGACATGAGGGTTTTCTAGTGTAGCTGTTTTTGAAAAAACACTATAATCACTTTTTTTTTTGTCATTGTGCTATTACCCTGTTTCAAAGGAGATTGGAGGGAGTGGATTCCCCTCACATTATCTAAGTTGTGTACTGGTGTCATATCAAATGCTTAAAAACCAGCGGCTGGTTCCGATCTCTGAGGCTCAAGTGCCGCAAACAGCAGAGCAGAAAACTGAAAGCCAGCCTCTGTCTGCAGGCAGCGCTTTTGATGTTAGCCTGACAAAAGGCTCCCAACTCCAAAAGTCCCTTTCACTGGGTCTTTTTCTAATGCTTCATGTGTGCTTTCAAGTTGTGAAAAGATAACTTTGTGGGTGTGCCTCGTGTTACAGTTTGAGGCGGGCATTTGTTTCATTTGTTCCAGCGGCCTTTCAAGTGGCAGCCGCTGTTAGAGAAATGGAGGGCTTTGAGCCCTGGGTCCGGTGTGATCCTCTACATCTGTCACTGCGGTTTCATGTTAGAGGAGAAGTCGGCTCACTTTCATTGTCCCATGGTTACATTTCTAGCTTATTGTTGGCTCTACAGCAATGTTTTCCTACTTTACTTGTAGTAACATCAGGCTCCAAGCCTATCATTTTTATTAACGAGGCCACATTATAATTCATAAGGAAAGTTTATTTTCCACAGCTCACCAGGTGCTGTTTTATGCACAGCCATACATTTCTCAGGTACTCTGTAATTTATTAAGTTCCCTGTGTAATGCATTGGTTTGCAGGGAAATGTCAGGTTCTAACACTTCTCCAACAAGCCCCTGCAGGCACAGTGAATAATTTATATTGATTTTAAGTTTTAGAAGCCATTACTGCCCTGAGTCTGAAGTATCCTTTGCTATATATTATAGAACATATGTAGTATAAATTATATAAGAAGAAAGTGAGAAATCCAATCCATCAAGAGAAGCCAAAGGGGAATGTTTATTAGCATGGTGTAATAGGAGCTTGTGTACCTGGTATGATCTTTGCCTGCGAGCTGCAACACCTGATGCCGGCTAATTGGCATCCGGGAGCAGCTCTGAGAATAACTGGAGTCTTGCATTCCCTCCACAGTTTGCTTTCTTTGGTGAGAAGTGAAAACGAGTGAGGAAAATATGTGGCACTGCTGTGTGGGAGATTGTCCCAAACTCTCCCACCTTATAGGTAAAAACTAAGGCTAAGGCCAAGTCACAATATCGTCAGCCCACACGCACACACATTTTCTTTTCATGGGCTTGGTGAATGGCTGTGAGGGCGAGGCATGAAAAGATGTGCAGCCAGCCCATTAACAGGCCTGTTTGGGCAAAAACACACACAGACGAGGCCTTACCCTCCAAAGCCCTCAAAGCCCCCACTCACACATCCTCGTAATTCATCTCAAATAGCGGACCTGCCCTCTCATCTCTCGCAGTTCGTCCATGTGAGACGGAGCCCACCGACATTTTCCACCGTGGGATTAGCTGCGTAGAGTGGGGGTCCGATGTGCTTCAGTGGTCCTAAAGGACTGACCCTGAGGTGAGGTGGCCAGCAAGACAATCCTTATAAGGCCAGAAGGTCTCCACTGGTTATTGTGCATGGGCGTCTGACTAAATGATCTCTCCTGCTTCCCTTTCATAGCACTGTAGGTGGAAAAAAGCCTGTTTTCCGGAAATTATTAAACCCACTTGTTGGCATAACAATGTTCTGGAGTGCACACGACCATGTGTTCCCTGATGAACCTCTCATCAATGATGTGGGCTGCTGCCGGCAGAAATGGTCTTCCTCCTCAAGGGTCCTTCCCTGTAAATTGCAGCCGAGCCGCCTACTTTGAAAGGGAGGATTTGATTCAGAATTGCTTGCGCACCCTTCCTGAGCAGGTCTCAGCATATGTGTCTGCGTGCGTGTGCGTGTTTGAGCACACGGGCGCGCGCGCTCATCCCCCAGCCATTTTTTTTAAGCTGTGTGTCCAGATTGTATGTCAAAGCGGAGCCAGACCCAGTTACCATGCCGACGCCTGTCTCTGAGAATCACTGCGTTTATCTTAATGAATTCATTTTCAAGCTTATGTTTGCTTCTGTATTCTCCGTCAGCTGTGTAAACATGCTCCATAATAGTGAAGTAGAGGGCTTTTCCAGAGCTCACAGTGACCTGAGGGAAGCAGCTTATTGATTTTTGAGGGGGGACATGATTAAATTTAGCTCTTAGTCGACACTTGATGTGAACTTGTCTGCGGGAGAAGAGATAAAAAAGTCTAAAAGCCAGCTTGCTTTAAAGCCTGACTCTGGGATGTTCCTTCCTCTGGGGGTTAAATTGAATGTGTCCCTTTTAAAATTTGGGTCACTCATTTCTATTTACCTTTGCTTTTCATTTCTGAAGGAAGCTTCCCAATTTTATAAATATTTAATTTCTTCAGGACACCATCAGATTCAAATATCCTGCATGTATTATCAAATGGACCATAAGAAACGGGGATAACATTAAGAGTTTGTTTGTTTACGTCAGTTTTCTGTTTTTTGGCTTACTGTTGGTGTGGTACAGCCAGAGATTGAGTGGACAGACGGTGTTGTGCACATCGTGTTCAGTAGGTGTGCTAATCAGAAGGAGAGATCCCCTGATTGCTGCCATGATCGCCCAGTTCACCATCTGTGAGGCTCTGATGGCCGGCAGTCTGGCTGAGAGAGCAGGAGCCTCGCTCTTGTCCTCACATGGCTGCTGTCAGCTCCACCCTCTCAATCTACTGTCAGTGTCCAGTTTTACTCAGGTCTGTAAATGACTTAATACTTGCTAACAGGCACTCCAAAAGCCAAGCCACAGCATTAAAGGACTAGCAGAGTCAGGGTAAAGCCCAGAAATTGTGCTTCATTCAGATATTTGTTGTGTGCTGTGTGTCTGTGTGTTGAATCTTATGTCTGTGCACCGGGATCTGGAAGTAATTGAGGAGATTATTGTCGGTATTTCTGTGTGTTTTCCATTTGCAGTCACCACTAATAAATGCTAACAGTCTCGTCCTGCTGGGATGTGTTTGTGTCGTGACCCGAGATAAAGGCATGCTGCAGTGAGCGTCTCCTCAGTGCGTCAGCTTGGAGAAACTTTCAATGCCTACGAGTGATAAGTATGAAGATAGGGGCGCACGTTACCATGGCAACTTGTAAGAAAACCATACAGAGAAATACACTGCTTGTCATATTGATTCAGGGTGCACAGAGTAAAGCTGTCGGTATCAGTCAAAGGCAGGTTGGTCTGGCTGTATCTGCCAGTGCCAGGTTTGAGGCTTATTGACCGTTTTTGACAGGCTGTCTTAACAGGCGACTTTTTTCACGAAGTGGGACGCCAGCCCGAAGTTCAATTAAAAGCTTCCCTCTGTGACTCCAACATATTTGCCAAATAGAGGGAAAGCGTAAATCAGTCTTGGTGCTTTCTCAGCATCCTGGTTGCCCTTCAGGAATATTGATGGTACCCCCTCAACTCATTTTTAAAGCTCCCATCAAAGCTAAAACATTTATCTTACGCCCCGCAGCTTGAAGAAGGTGTCACATGAGCGATGTAGAAACACACAGCTGCACTTGGAAGTATTATTGGGGCTATGGACTTCAGTAATCGCCAGCTTTAGTTTTCAGGTTGTTGTTTGTTTTTTTTGCCTATGAGTTCTCACAGCCTTGTCTCACACAGACTCAGCGGGTCAAGAGAGCTTTTTTTTTTTTATTCCACGCTGATAAGGCTGTAGACCTTAGTCATGTAGCAGTGAGATAATGTTTAGTAATCGCTGCGCCAAGGAGATAAGTGATTTGTGATGAATCTGGCATGCTGTAAACATTTTCAGAGGGTGTCCTTTTATGTTTCCTCTCTGAATGAGATCTCCTCATTGTGAGGCCGTCTGTTGCCAATAAAGTGGTGACAGTGCGAAATGATCCGGTTAAATTTATGAGAGTTTGCAGCTTGCGTCGTGTCCTTTTTACAGCGCTTAACAGTTGGTTCAGAGTGTGAATAAATGTTTGCCTTCCCGCCGGTGGAAGTCGTGTCCAAACGAGTGAATCGGCCGGGCTGAAAGTGTGAATGAGCCACGGAGGCAGACAGAAAGAGGAAGAGGCTTTTTCCCGGGGCAGTGCCCAGGACAATGTCAGGTTTGTCTGGCCCAAGTGCATGAACACTAAGCTTTTCGGAACTGGCAGCCCGCCTCAGTACCTACCCATCTCGCCCGGCTTCCAGAGCTGTCCGGCCCCGGAGCACTAAGCATTTGTGCAAAGTTCATAAGGCTTCCTTCTGTTTGTGCGGCCAGAATGGAGGCTCCATCCTGTTGTAGCTCAAAGAGTGCTTATGGGCTCAGAGACCCTGGCGCTGGCTTCGCAGAGGCGTGTGAGTGTTCTCAGTTACTGACTTTGCCTGAGTGCATTCATAATGAAAAGACACCCCCCTCTCTATCTCCCCTCAACAGATCTGAATCAGAGCCTACAGAATCAGGGTTTTCCTTATCTGTTGTCTACCTTTTAAACTCAATTTGTTCATTTAAGTCCTCCAGCTAAATGAAATTGGTGTCACTTTAAGTCCAGATAATGGCAAGAAGTGTGCACTAAAATGATGGAAATCTCACTGAAAGGAGACATATGTTATTGTTGAATGACCAAATAAACCTATCTACCAGGCCCTGCAGAGGTATACAAGCCCATTATAGGTGTCAGCATTTGTGAGGCCGGCAAGTTAACGACCTTGTCATTTCTGGATGCAAATGGTGCCCAAGCAGCCGTACCAATGGATGGTTTTTCACCACAGTTACAGCCCACATCAGCATAATTCAAGCATGACCCTCCTCCCCCTTTTATTTTCTTCTATTCTCCCCCCTAAAACCCAGCCCTCTGTTTAGTCCACATCATACATCATCCTCAGACTTTTGGTGGGGGGGGGGGTTTCCTCCCTCCCCCTTGTTTGTGTTCTGGGAGAGAGTCTGCTTCTTTTTTTCCCCCCCTTTCTTTGACAGGGTTGGTGGAAGGCACCTATCAACAGTGTCAGCACTGTCTGCATATTACACAGATCAGGTCCATCCATATGTATGCTCACTGGTCGGCGTTTTGAAAATGTAAAGGAAGTTGCAAAACAAAGCTTTTCCCACCCCCCTCAGACATAAAACAAAAGCTCTATCAACAGTGGGCTTACTCTGGGCGACGTTCTAAAGCAGTTTGATGGGAGACAGTCCTCAGCAGTATTAGCAATTAAGCAGATTGTCAGCGGCTGAGAGACCAAGCTTGCGGCAGGAGAAAAACTCAACAGATTTCCACTCAGCGGGGGGGCTCTGCTCCCAACCAGCCCGATACTCAGATGGTCCCCCCCCAGTTGATCATAGCAAATAAAGACTTTGCAATGAGCCTACAGGTGCATCAAACAACCTGATGACGAGGATGAAGAGCAGGGGGTAGGCAGAAGTTGCATTCCTCCGCTCTGCTTTGTGCACACCCGGTGAATAGCCCTTACATCGGGCTTTGTGGGAATGATTGTCAGTAGCTTAATGAGCTTCTTTGCCAAGTGAGAGGCTTTGGCAACATATGTGAGCACACTTCCTCTGCTCGTCTCAGTCTCCGGCATGTGTGACACAACATAGAGTGGGCTCAGCTCTTTCGATCTCTGCAGAAATCAGATATCTCTGAATGCCCACTTTTCCTTTTATTATGGATTTCATTACCAGAGAAAGGAATTGTTACTCCTGTCATGGGGACCAGGAATGAGAGCAAAGTAAAATCTTGTAAGTACCTGACAGTGTGAGTGGGTCTCTGAGAGGCTATTGTTGCTCTTTTGAATTAGTGTTTTGTTGTTTTCCTTTTTTAAATTAAGCTCATACAGTGGAAAATTAAACATTTCTTGTAGGGCATGAATTGTCTTCATAAAGTCTGTCTCGTTAATTTGTTGACCGACAAGTCTGATATTACTCTTGTTATAATGATATTGATTGTGTGACTTAAACACACAATAGCCGTCAATTTCTCTATGATGATTTTGTCAGCAAGATTTAAAGTGTGATCAGTCACATTTACAGGTTGCAGAGCCTAAATAAGCCCGGAAAGTCGGCGAATTAAACAGGAACAGACTTTAGGGGAAATAAAGATGACTTTCAGAGCACGCACTGAACAAATACCCACAGTATCCACGTTCACCAAATGTGCTTCTGAGCCGAGCTCACTGCCTGAGCAAATTTACATTAAACTGCCAAGAAACTATTTCCTTGATGGGTTGTAAACTGACCTCCAGGAACATCACTGTGGACTCTCTAATTAGTTTCATTTACAGAGCTGTTCAGCAAGTCAGAGATTCTGCTGCTCTTTACTGCCTTTTAGTATTAGTATAGAAGATAAAAGGGGAAACACGCTATAAATTTATGTTACCTCAAAGCCTTTTTTGGTTACTAACTGCACAGTGAGTGAGAAACTAAGCAGCATGTAATTCCACATAAGGAACTAATTTTTTCAGAAATTGCTCCTGACAGTTGAAACGCGGCGTAAATCGCATCTGTTTAGGAGATCGCTTTAAATTACCTAAACTGTGTGGGATATTTTTTCTAATCACGCGGCCACGATTCGGTCACGCGGAAGATTTAAACTTGATTTGTCTCAACACAACCGCATACCGACCCCGGTCAATGGCGGTGAGGCCGCACGTCCGACGTATGTGTCAAACATCTTACCAAGAGTAACACTGTCCAGATGTTCCACTGTGGCACAGAGCAGGATATTAAGCCTAGAAGGCCTCCCTGAGCTGCGGATGTCTCATTTCATAGGCTGAAATGATCATTTTGACGGCATGTTTATTAGACATCTGAAGCCATTACAACACCAGTGGATATTTTTCTGAAACTATGTTTTTGTGCCTCGGTGGGGACACGAGAAAGTATTGGTAGCCAGCAGAAATAAATTGCTTCTGGGTCTGACGGAGGTAAGGATTTGGGATATGGGAGCCATCCATCATGTCTCGCTGTGGCACAATTTCATCCAGGGTTATTGCCAACATCAGTTCTAGGAAGCGAACGAATATGGAGCACAAAAAATATATATATATCGCCGTCCCCACAGCCCGGCTTTTTGAATTCATCTCTCTGCCGGCGACTCAGAGGACATCGCACTCTAATGTGATTATTGTCCCGAGCGAGAGGCATTCCTGTGGGACTTCAAAGAGAGCAGATCAGACGCAGAATAGGAGGAAAAAAAATGCTGTGATGTGGACAGGTGCAGAGTGCTGTCGGACACTTTTCCCTACCCATGAACACGCTCAGAGAGAGAGAAGACTGTGACAAACGCAGCATTCTGCATGATTTATCATACTGTCCCCGGATGTGCTCTGATGATCACTTCCAGTATGTATTAAACTTCTATATGAGTCTGAAGCCTGTGATTAAAAATCAGAATCCAGAATGAAAGGTTAACACGTCGATGCTCGTCGCTGCTTACAAGAAGAAGCCTCTACAGGTCTGCCACAAATAGAGCATTATGTTTTTACGGAGTTTGCAGACTGCTTCTGGGCAGAAGAGCTGCTAATTAGAGAGAGTAGGGAGACCTCTCTGTCTCTTTTGTTCAGGAAATAAAAACACGAAGAATAGATCAAACGTCCTCAGCTGTTTGTTCGGTCTTTTCCCGACAATGCATTAGATCATAGAGCTTCAATTTCACAATGTCCTCTTCCAGCTGGTGACATTGTTGTCTTCCCGTAGTGCTCGTGTAGCTACACGCCTCCATGGGGTCACTGCAGGTTCTAAGCAGCAAGATCCCCTTCTCAAACCCGATGGAGGTTCATGCAGGGTCATGAGGGTCCTTCATCATTAGCTCAGATACGACAAAAGGTCGTAAACCCCTCAGTTTATCACTCCAACCACTTTATATCTGTCTCCAATGGAGCCTCCCTCCTGCAAATCACAGTCTCTCAGTTTCCTCCACCCTCACCCGGCCTCTCCTCCACCCAGCTCCACTCTACGTGCCCTTTACTTACAAATTCTACAGACTTCCAGAGCAATGATATCGTGCTAATTGAATTGTCACGCCCGCTGAAGTGCAGCAACATCGAGCCAGATCTCAGTTACACAGGCAAATGACCTGATGTTGGCAAAACTTCCTGAGCTCATTTAGCACTTTGTTTATGTGGTCTCATGTGCCACTTTTATATTAATAATAGATAAAGCACTGGGCAAGCCTTTTCCAATAGAACTTACTGAAAAAAGGTCTGAAAGCAATCAATGTCTAAGTCCAAAAGAGAGAGAGAAAAACAAAGATAAAAACTCAATTCCTTGTGAAAGGTGTTCAAATTTGGTACCATTGTTCTTCTCTTAGACACTGTATGTGTGTGTGTAATCTGAGACTTATATTATAATCTCCTTTTAGTCTCTACTTTTGCAGATATCAGAAGAAGCACAAGTCAATTGTTGCTTAGTGTTAATCAGCTCAGTCGGGGTTGTAATTGTCCCTGAGTGATCAAATGAGAATCAGTGTGGAGGCATTATCCGGACTGTGAGGGGCGTGTGGAGCCTCCCTTAATCTTATTACAGGCATGCACATTAAACTACAGTAGGCCCACACTCCTCCACCCGTTTGTCTTTGTGTGAGTAAGGAGCAGATGGTGCCAAATTAACAGCCTACTGTAGTGAACTTTGAATGGCTGAGCCCAAACCCCACCCCGTTACCAAACATGCCATCTTCTAGTTTGGAGACCGTGTCCGGTCCTCTCTCAAGCTCTGCTATATTTTTCTTTTTAAATTGTTTTATTTAACTGGTCCGATTTAAGGAGTGAGGCTACAGCAGGTGGAAAGGTGCCAGAGTGGTTTCTTTAAGAAAAATTTGGGGGGAGGCTGCACAGTAATGAAGACTACTAAAGGTCACTCTAGTGTGAAGAAAAAACTACAGGACTCCTACAATTAACTCCCCAAGAAGAGAACTAAGGTAAAGTAGAGCTGGGTGTTCTAAACACTATTTATACTACTCGGGATTAGGGAATATTTTGAGTGAAGGGATAATGGAAAATTCATTTTTAAAGCAACATAATGAGACTATCATTTCACTGAAGGGACGTTTAATGGAACCAGCTCCCTGGGATTTTTTTTTAAAAGTAATTGATAACTCATTTTAAGAGAGATGCAAACCTCTGCCAAGAAAATACTGAAAAGAGTCTGACAGCTCAGCAGTTTCTCTTTAAAGTAAAGTCCTTTTGTGAGGTAACCGTATGTCTACCGCACTGCTGATAGCCGCCCAGCTTTTACACTTTACACTCAGACACTTCAGGTAGGTGTGAATTAGATGGCAACATCTACTCTGATGTAAACCAAAGTCCTCTGCTGAGCTAGAAGAGACGAGGCACAAATGAAATATGTCACCCCAGGCAGTGAAACCAGCTGCAGACTTTGAAAAGAAAATTGCAGAAAAAACAATAAGCTTGTTTGCTTCATTGTTTGTGCCGTCACACACAAGTTCCATGCCGTCTAAAAGCACCTTATTTGAGGGACACATTTACAGAACAGATGTGCCTGAACTAGTTTGCCTGCCCAACAGAAATTGTGCTCCGTCACAGTCTGCAATACAGGCTGTTTGGTGCCAGGATAGCTGACAGGATTGTCCCCTCAGGGTTGTGGAAAAGTCACTGAGCACCGTGCTGGTGGTCATGGAAGGGGTGTTCAGTTGCCTGTAAGGATTGATACTGAGCATGTGCTCGAGCCAAGTCTCATTCTGATATCTGTATTTTTCAGTAGATAGTTTGACGACGTGACAAAAATTCGAAATGGTGGCAAACTTTTTCTATAGCTTGTGTAGCACTGCGTTGGTGCTTAGGATCAAGCTGTGAGGGAATTATATCATCATTTAAAGTTAACGAGTGACACACAATTAAGTAAAAAAACAAACATTTTTCTGACATTGATTATTTTCTGCAATATTAGGCATGACAATTAAGTTTCTAATGAATCACACAATCTGTGTATAGTATATAATTTTTTGTATGATTCCCACAGTCCTTGAAAATCATAGTGAAGATGATTTGAAAATTAGGTTGGATCAGTCGTGAATCACATTGGTGAATTTTTCACTTACAGAACTCCAGTGTGAAAGTAGATTTCCCCCGGCCCACATTGCTTTGTTTTCTTACAGTGCTGGACTCCTGTCCCTCTCTTAGCTTTGGCTAAGTAAGGTTGAGGTTCACTCTGGCCTTCCCACAGCGAGCAGCTTTTAACCTCCCTCCAGCTTCATCAATCTCCGGATGGTGTGATGGCTCCCGAAAGGGGCGGGAATCAGGAACAGCCCGCGGTCTGTAAATCAGGCAAGCTCTGTGGAGGGGGCCCTCAATGATACGGGTTCAACAGGCACCATACCCTCTGAGTTCAATGTAGGCATTATCACTCACAGCAGTGAAGCTGTGAGTGGACCTCCCTCAGCCAGATGGCTGTGTTGGTCCTCAATAAATATTTTAGTGGGGGAGAACAAATTGAATCAGAGGGCAAATGATCAAGCACGGCTTGAACAAAATGTAATCCATCTAAGCCGGTGTTAGGAAGGCAAAATATTTTAACCAACAACATCAGATAATGAGAATCATTCTCCTGTGGGAATTGTAACTCCCCACCCCCCAAACACACACACACACACACACACACACATACATGCGCACACTCTGTTCTTAACCAGGCCAGTTTCACCAATAGAAGCACAAACCAATTAGTGCAAAGCTTGTGCATTTGGAGTGAAATTTCCCTCGCCAACATAAATCACTGTGTCTGGGAAAGGCTGAAACAAAAGCCCAAGGCATTTTCTAAATGACTTCTAACTTTGACACATAAATCTTATATTGGAGCCGAATCGATGGGCTCGAGTTGCGATTGAGTGGGATTGATATGTAATATGTCTGATGCTTAGCTTCTGTAACCTCAGTGGAGCTGAAGGTAGGTGCTGTGTAGAGGTCATGTGTTGGTTTGGAAAGGCCAATATTGGGTAAGAATTAATACGTTTAGGCATGCTGGAAAAGGCCAGGGTGCACATTCGTCCAGGGACGGCCTGGAAAGGGTCAAACCAACAGTGCTGTCCTAAGCTCAATTATTCAATTACATGTTAGGAGCAGGAGTTTGGCCTCAGCGTTTATTGAATTCTTTGATCGAGGAAGATTAGAAAAGAGCACGAACTGTGAAGCATTAGCCGTCTTAAAGACATGGTGTAGCCAGTTAGAGGTGTGCTTCAGGGGTTTCTCTAAGCATTGTTTGTTTGTCACCGCTACTTAATAACTAACACACACACACACTTTGAACCTAATTGGATTCTGTGTCAAGACTGGAGTGAGGGCAGCTGCTGGAGTTCAGCCTTGCATATTGAAACACTTCTGCTCCATACCTGAACACAAACTGGCTCTCGACAGACTGCTGGTCTCACCCATTTCCTTAAAACTCAAATGTTTGCCCACTATCACCATTTGGTTATTATTGGCCATGTTAGCTGTTGAGCTAATTACTCCAGCGTGGCCAGCTAATCCAGGTCAGAGCCAATATGAGGAAGACTAATGAACTGACACCCCAGAGGGTCACACAGCATCTATTCACAGTGCTGTGTTTCACCCTCCTTTAGTCCAGCACCCCAAACCTTTTGCTCATAATGGCCCAGACTTTGGTTTGTTAGCTGGAGAATGATGCAGTGCTCTTTAGTCTACAACCTGTCAACGTGAGTGAAGACAGCTTACTCTCTTTAACTCCTAACTATGCATGCTTTATATTTCATCCCCTCTCATACTCCCAGGCAGCTAAATTTACTGCCACGATCATTTGAATGGTTGAAGAACTCTTTATGATTTCCAGCTGTTGTTATCGGAAACTGCAGCCACACATCAAAAGAGTGCGTACTTCAAATGGGCCTAAAGTTGATGCTAATTTTGCAATTGATTTTTTTGTCTGGGTTTGTTGTTGGACTAACAGTACCTTCTGGCACTAATGATGAACATCTGCTGTGCATTAATAACTCCAGAAACAATTTATTTATTTATTGTTTGTTTGTTTGTCATTGTGGCATCTTTGCGGCTCCCGCCATTAGCCCCAGGGACACTTTAAAGTGAGTTTCTTTTCAGTCATATCAGAGTTAGGGCTGAGTCCCTGCCGATGCTATGAGAATATGAAGTGTGTGCGGTTCTGCCCGGCTGAGCAGAGAGCAGTCGGACTGTTCGTCACAGGGGGATTAGTTTTCCTGCCTGCCAGCAGGTGTGCAGTTTCACAGTTCTCTTTCCATCTGTGCTGCTTTCACAGGTACGCCATCTTCAGCCCACCAGAGAAATGAAGTAAGGACGCAGAGGAGAAGGCTAATTTGTTGAGAACGTCCGTCATCGTGCGAGGAAACCATGAGGTTACAGAGGAGTCCTGGGCTGGCAGCCACACTGATCACCATCACCTGCTTTTGTGCCTTTCTTTCAACTACTGCCATCGATATGCCACTGGAAGGTGAGTCTTTTGCAGGTTTATATAATCACAGAGACACATTTCACTCTAGCAGCCTCTTTTCAAGCAGGTTCAGCTAGGAAATGTTGATGGATTAACATGCTCTGTTTACATTCACTAAACTTTGTAAGACGAGTTCTATGAACATCAGCAGGAAGTCAGTATAAATAATTATGTCTTATGTATTTGCTTAACCCACATTTATGTCAGCACAGTGAAATGTTTTGCTGCTAAAGAACCAGACCTTTGATGACAGAAATGTAACATTTAAACCACTGCTGTAACTCATCTCAAAATTTTTTAGATTCAATTAAAGCAACATTCATGGAAAAACCCAGGATTTTGAAATTGTTTAATGTATTTCTTATTTCAATTTAAGCATTCATGTTTAGCTCTAAGAAACTCAGGTGTTGAGTCCTCAGGATGTCAGCAATCTTGTATCTTGTTGCAGGATGAAACTGTGTCCAGTGTTTTTATGACATTTACAAAATCAGATTTTTATGTGCGGTTTCCATTGACTGTTCCAGCGATGCAGTAGCTTTTAGAACTGGATATGCCCACAGCACAAAACTGCCATTACCAGGTTTAACAGAGGAGTTAATCTGCTCTAGCTTTATCATCTCCACTTTTACTTTAAGAGAAGGTACAAAAAATTACTTTTGGATAAATATGTAGACGAGGAAAGATAAAAAACAGGTAGATTAATATGGAAGAGTGATTGTAACTAATTAAATGAGCAACTTGGGTCACTTGAATCATTAGGGATGGGAAACTTAAAAGTTTATACTTCGTCCCATTCCTTTTCGAACAATTTATTATGGTTTATGTATTCATTGTGTTATGTATTCATTGTGTTGTGTTGTATTTACACATCTTATATTGTTTTGTTGTTCGAATAAACTGAACTGAACTGAACTTTGTGCCATCTTCCAGCCACAGACCCCCCCCCCCCCTGAATTCTGCAGCCTCCTTTATGGGGTTTGGACATTTTAGTGGCTAAATGTATATACAGTGGGTACAGAAAGTATTCAGACCCCTATAAATGTTTCAGTCTTTGTTTCGTTGCAGCCGTTTTCTAAAATCAAAACAAGTTCATCTTATTTCTCATTAATGTACACTCAGCACCCCATCGTGACAGAAAGAAAAACAAAAATGTGTACATTTTTGCAAATTGAAAAAGAAAAATTGAAATATCACAAGTCATATCATAAGTATTCAGACCCTTTGCTCAGTATTGAGTAGAAGCAGCCATTTGAGCTTGTACAGCCATGAGTCTTCTTGGGAATGATGCAACTAGTTTTTCACACCTGGATTTGGGGATCCTCTGCCATTCTCCCTTGCAGATCCTCTCCAGTTTTGTCAGGTTGGATGGTGAGTGTGGTGGACAGCCACTTTCAGGTCTCTCCAGAGATGCTCAATTGGGTTTAGATCGGGGCTCTGGATGGGTCAGTCAAGAATGGTCCCAGAGCTGTTCCCAAGCCACTCCTTTGTTATTTAAGCTGTTTGCTTAGGGTCATTGTTTTTAACCTTCGGCCCAGTCTGAAGTCCTGAGCACTCTGGAAGAGGTTTTCTTCCAGGATATCTCTGTACTTGGCTGCATTCATCTTTCCTTCAATTGCAACTAGCTGTCCTGTCCCTGCAGCAGAAAAACACCCCCATAGCATGATGCTACCACCACCATGTTTCACTGTTGGGATAGTATTGGGCAGGTGATGAGCAGTGCCTGGTTTTTCTCCACACATACCACTTAGAAATGACACCAAAAAGTCCATCCTTGGTATCATCAGACCAGAGAATCTTCTTTCTCATAGTCTGGGAGTCCTTCTTGTGTTTTTTGGGAAACTCTATGCAGGCTTTTACATGTCTTGCACTGAGGAGAGGCTTCCGTTTGGCCACTCTGCCATAAAACCCCGACCGATGGAGGGCTGCAGAGATAGTTGACTTTGTGGAACTTTCTCCCATCTCCCTACTGCATCTCTGGAGCTCAGTCACAGTGATCTTTGGGTTCTTCTTTACCTCTCTCACCGAGGCTCTTCTCCCATAATTGCTCAGTTTGGCTGGACGGCCAGGTTTAGGAAGAGTTCTGGTCATCCCACTCTTCTCCAATTTAAGGATTATGGAGGCCACTGTGCTCTTAGGAACCTTAAGTGCTGCAGAAATTCTTTTGTAACCTTGGCCAGATCTGTGCCTTGCCACAAGTCTGTCTCTGAGCTCCTTGGGCAGGTACTTTGACCGCACGATTCTCGTCTGCTGTGCACTGTGAGCTGTAAGGTCTTATATAAACAGGTGTTGCCTTTCCTAATCAAGTCCAATCACTTTAATTAAGGAGGAATAAAGTATTTTTCAAAGTTTTTAAAAGGGTTCTGAATACTTAACGTACCCACTGTATTTGCATTAAGTCTCTGCCCACTGAAGACCATTGCTGTTTTCTTTACAATAGTTAGCACTCCTCTGTCAATGGCAAGGTTTACCATCACTGTCTTTATTCTTAATGATCTTCCAGATAGTTGTTTTTTTATACTTGTCAGCCTTATAATATCGTTTTTGACTTCATGTTTAGCAACAGTAACACACTTAAAATAGTAGGAGCAAGTTGAAGCATCTTAAGCCGGGGGGGCACAAACTTCTTTGACATGATGTCTACATCACGAAGCTTGATCATGAAAATAAAGCCTGAAATGTGCAATTTATTCACTGGCTTTGTCCCAAACATATTGGGGGGGAAACTGAATAAAGCTGCTATCAAAGGAAAAGTGCCAAACAGCTGTAATGCTTCAGTGCTGGGGAGTCGTGAGTGGAGGAGTAGAAGTTAAAGTGTTTGCTGGCTGGCTGTCTCATCTCTTCTTAGAACAAGATCGAAATTAGACAGACTTCTCACTTCCTTTTCAACTTTTCCACTTAAAAAAAAGTACCTTTTTTTTACATCACAGAAGAGGGACCAAGAAGAGTTTCACTTATTTTCCTCTCAGTCAATGACAGGATTGTTGACTTAAAGATGAAAAAATACATTTTTCCACTTTTAACTTCCCCTGTGTAACTTCATACATGTAATGTGTTTGAATTTACTGCACAGAGGCCATCTTTAAGCTTTTATGATAAAAGGGAGGTTGCCTGGGTGTGGTGTTTCTGTTATTATTTCCCATTACCAGTCAGCGTTGACTGACTGGTAATGGGACGGCATCTGAATATACTGAAAACAACTCATCAGTTACCGCAAGAAAATCATTGATGAAGCAAAGGAAGGCAAAATGTGTTATGATTTTCAATATCCTGGTTTCCATCCATACAGATCTTGTCCTCATATTAGTTTTTTCAGGAAAAAAAGGTTGTTGAATAATTTACAGGGAAGTGAATCACACCACAGAGGGCTGTTACACTTGTCAAGCATTCTGCAAGCGGGATATGTTCACAGCAATCGGCGTGTTTGAATCAGGGTTTTGTTTCTTTTTGTGTTGGATCTTCGTGTGTGTGCCAGTTTCCCATGTCAAACCTCTCCCTCTAAATTATTCAGAAATATCTCTCAAGGGCCCGATTTAAAAAAATAAAACAAAAAAAACAAAAGCAACAACAGTGGAGACAGGTTTGCTGAAAAGGCAGAAGCATTTTGGGGCTGGCTGTCAGTGAATATATTTACTTTGACCCCTGTTTTGAAATATGGCTGTATGCTTAAACGTATCTATGTATGGATATGATGGTCACAAGAGGGAGATTATCCTCAACCCGCTGACTGTTGATTGTTTTTGCTTATATCCCCCTCGCTGCCATGGATGATATAGTTTTAGGTCATGTCAACAAGTTCACTTTGTTCAGGTTGCCCTTCTGTTGGTGGTATTTTAACTTTGATGTAGTACATACAATGCTATAATGCAAGGTCATCAGCCTCTAGGACCATCAAATCATCTTCTCCTCTCTGCTTTCCTTTCATTGTATTAAACATTCAGCATGTTCCATAACCACATGGGACTAAAGGGAAGGTTGTTTTTTGGCCAAACTAAACAAATTCATCTGAGTGCCATGGTGGCCTATCTGGATAAACAGAAAATGGATCATATTAAAATTGTTTTTGGTGCGCAACCACCATCGGGTGTGTGAAACTTCAAAGTTAAAAGGAGGCTGTTATTCTGCGAAATTCTCAAATGCAGAGATGTGTCATAACAAGATGCCTGACAGATCTAATGCGACCTCTGTTTAAACCCACACCTAACCCAGCGTTGGGCATAATCAAGAGAGACATGAGACATACGGAGCTAAGTAAATTCTTAAGGGTCTTAACATAAGGAGGGAAAACTTAAATAGAGTTCTGTTAACCAAAAAGTTGCCTGGATATGGAGGGAGGAACTTCCATCTCCTCTGACCTTACCCTGTAAAGAATCAATTAAAGGATTAAAGTGAATGCCAACGTGGCACCAGAGACACAGCTCGTGTGTAAACAGTAACTGTCGACATTCATGGAGCAGAGGGGCTCACAACAACACCCCCCCACATGGCCATGATGTCCTCCTCGCTCCCGTATCCACGCTGTCTTCAAGATGAGTCACGGTACGCCTCTGAGACGCACAGTGCATCCAGAGAGCCTAGTCACAAGCAAAAAGCATCCCCATGTTTTGTTTGTTTGGAGTAGGAAGGTTGAAGTGGTTATTGATCTGTTTAACCATTTCTGCTTTTGTCAGGATGCCCACCCAAATCTTTATCCTCATTCTAAACTGAAGCAATGTTTGTCTTACAAATGTCCCTCTTATCTTTATAATCATTTAATGTTTTTCATAAAATTCTGCCTTTGACAGAGAGAAAATAGAGAGAAAAAAACACACTTGTTTCCAACCTGTAGACCAGGACCCCCCCATGTGGCCACAAGTTGAAATTGAGTGGTCAGGAATTGAACCAGTCAGAATCAGTGCGTGTGAAATTATCACTCCCTCAGTCAGTTTCATGGTTGTCACAGCAGATTTGTCCATATGAAAATCTAGTGAAATAGCTTAAAAGTGTTGACAGTTTTGGAACCACTTTTGTCAGACATGTGAGCTTCCTCTTCCAGCCTTCTGAATGGATGCCTGTGTTGTGTCTCACTTCCATATGTACTGTTTTGTTTGTCGCCCAGTTGAGCAGCTGCCCACCATCACCGCTCAGTCCCCCAGCCCTGTCATTGCCTTCCCTTTTGAGGACAGCTTCTCCATGACGTGTGAAGCCAAAGGGAATCCCGAGCCAGAGTGAGAACCGACTCTTCCAACACTTCAGATAAGAGAAGGGGAACAATAAAAACCTTATTAGCAGCCAAACCAACAGCAGATACAAACAACAGCACCTTACTGTGAACTCTGGAAAATGAGTAGGCTGAGCGGCTTGACGTTTCAATAACGGCTCTCTTTATTTAGATTCAGATGGACCAAGAATGGCCAGGAATTCGACCCCATTCTAGACTCCCGCCTGATGAAAGAAGAGAATTCTGGGACCTTTGTGATACCTAATAATGGGAACCTAACAGAATACCAGGGAACCTATCGCTGTTCAGCCTTAAACAAACTCGGGGCTGCCATATCCAAGGAGATTGAGTTCATTGTGCCCAGTGAGTAACCTGCATTTTGTCACTGTGTGTGTGTGTGTGAGGGGTGCACTGTTACAGCCCTTTGAGAGTGGTTCAGAACCAGCTGCCCCAAGCATTGACTGCATCTCTTCTTTGCGGTCATCTCAGTGTATTAAAAGTCCAATCCTCCCAGCAAACAATCCACAGTTCTGTGCAAGGGAAAATGTAGTGCGACCATTATTTCCTCCTCGGCATTTATTATTTTTTCCTTGAGTCCCTCCAATAACAACAAAAAAACATCAACTCCACAGGGGACGAGGACTTAATTTGCTGCTTTTGGGAGGTGACAGGGCCTCACACAGCATTGGTAGGTCTAAGGAGGGAAAGACGCCAGAAGGCTCAGTCTGCTGAATGATGCTGTTCAGATCCTCGAAAATAGAGTCCTGGCAGTAAACTCACGGAGGCTTTTACTGCCATCTTCAGGAAAAGAGGGGAATTGCAAAGCTGAATTTATTCATTGACTTTTGACTCCATTTACAAGTCTGCTTGTTGTTTCCTAGATGTTCCAAAATTCCCTAAAGAGACACTTGATCCCGTTAAGGTGGAGGAAGGCCAGCCTTTTGTTTTGAAATGTGACCCACCTCAAGGCATACCTCCTCTGCAGATCTACTGGATGACTATCAGTAAGTGATTAGGAGATATGTATGTATTTGTTCTTGTTACATTGTACATATAATTACTTAGAAAACAAAATATGAACAAGCATTACCTCTTTTGAAATAATCCCTTCACCAGCAGTGATATGAATACAAGTCAGTCAGTACTAACCACTGTTGAGCAGACCTACACTTGTCTGTAAATTCAATTTGAGAGCTTCACCTTGCCACAGGCACCAAAATCACCAGGCTGACAAAATGTCAGGATGAATATAGAATTATTGATGTGTAAGCGTGTAATTATGATGTCAAACCGCAGCATCAATAACTTGTTAAAACAAACTGATACAGAAAAAGAAGTCAGGAAGCTCCACCCTGCATAAAAGATGTAGGATTAACTGCCATATTAACTTATTTAGCTGCAATTTACCATTGTTCAACAAGGTTTAAACTGTCATGTTTGGTGTTAAAAGCTGCTGAAAAAATTTGGGTTGTTAATATCTGGATGAACCTCTCCCTCTTCAGACCTCCAGCACATCGAACAGGATGAGAGGGTGTCCATGGGCCTTAATGGAGACCTTTATTTTGCCCATGCAGTAGAGAAAGACAGCAGGACAGATTACTGCTGCTATGCTTCCTTCCCAACAATACGAACCATCGCTCAGAAGAACGCAATGTCCGTTGTCGTCAAAGCAAGTAGGTGTTGAGTAAGATTCTGTTCACCCAAGCCCTGTAAGCTCGGATGATGTGTTGTTCACATCTGCGCTTCAAAAGCCATCATACATGTGTGTTTATTTTTGGTTTGTGGTTGGGATTTTGGACTTGGTGATGGTTTTTCATCATGCATCCTCATTGTCCTCATGTTCAACATGATTTTTTTTCTATTTTGTGTTTGTGTGTGGTGTGTGTGTGTGTGTGTCATCCACCATCTTGTCAGGAAAAAGAGACGGTACTGAAAGAGGTAAGCTTCCCATTTGAAGAGTTAATTGTGTGCAAATGTAACCGTCTGGGTTCAGATTTGAGTCATGCTGTCTCATTCTCTTAAATTCAACCTCAGCTAATGAAATTCTGGAGATGAAACCCTCACTCATGACGCCCCCTGGTGTTCAGTCCGAGATACGGTTGATGAAGGGAGAGGACTTGAAAATGGAGTGTATTGCTCAAGGAATGTAAGTAAACACAATTCAAAAGTTTCACTCGTATTTAATTTCCCATCAATATCAATCAAAATCATTTTTGTAACTGATTTTCATATCAGATTTTATATAATTATCATTTATTTTCTGTGGTTTGTATTTAGTTTTAAACTCAACAATTTTTTTTAGACCAACTCCATTGGTTGAATGGACAAAGATTGGCCATCATCTCCCTGAAAAAGCAGCAAAGGAGAATCACGGGAAACTGCTAAACATACCGCGAGCTGACCAGGGAGACAGCGGGAAGTACATGTGCAAAGCCAAGAATACCCTCGGACAAGCTGTCCATAGCTTCATAGTGACGGTGGAAGGTAACGGAAGCCTGCTTTGAAACCTGTAGTGGTTTTATCATTAAAGCTACTGACCTATATCATAAAAACTATATTTAATAATAGAGTATCTAGCACTTTGTTGAAGTGCAGTTACAGATATTCTCCTCAAAGAATAATATTACATTACTCCCATACTGGTAAAAGTTCTGTTTAAAGTTACTTTGGTAAAAGCAGAGAAGTATTATCAGCATCAGGCAGCATTACTAAATACTATGAGTTTTCATATCATGGATAGTGAGCCTAGCACTCATTTGTATTGAGTGAAAAACATTGAATACCTGTGATTGTGTCGTACCTCTCAAAAGGTTTACATTCTCTTTCATGTTCACACTCATCTGATAACATTGTACCTCCCCAGAACCTCCAGAGTGGGTGGTGGAGCCGGAGAGTCAGCTTAGTATGATTGGGTCCGATGTCCTCATCAAATGTTCCGCCCGTGGGACCCCAGAGCCCACCATAACCTGGAGTGTCAACGGCGTACCTCTGCAGGGTCAGTCCCACCACAGTCCACTTCTCCGCTTAAATCCTGAGGCTCTCCTTAGAGGAAGAGAGTTTGAAACAAAAAAAATCCAAAAGTAGACACTAAAGTATTCGGGAGAGGGCGTAGGTCGAACTGAATGCCATATCTTCAGAAACATCTAAGCTTTATTCATCAAACAAAGTTATTATGTTGCTAAAATAGAAGCAAAAGGCCTCCTGTTAATAGTTTAGAACTCTACCAATATTCCTCCAAACTCTCTGAATTTTGGACTCCTCCTGGGGAACACTTGGGGCCAATAATAATTTTTCTTCTATATGAAATTCAAAAAAGTGTCATCTCCATATTTTACTGAAGCCATTTCAAGCGTGTGTTTCTCAGGGGTGGGGAGCCTCTTTTTTATGTCTATTAAAAAGCTCTTCTTTGCTCCGGAAGGGTGCTGAACAAAATCTGATACATTTCCCCTAGCTGTAGAGAACAGGAGAAAAAAAAAAATAGCTGCAGCCAAGATAACATATTACAGTTACGATTAAATGCGCTTCAATCGCATTGACAAGGAGAAGGATGCTAGGATGCTAGGATTTAGATTCCCCCCCTTTTTTTTCTCCTTCAAGTCAGTTGGATGACATCATGCAGCTGCTTACACATTACACATGAAACTTTAATGGAAACTGCAGTAAAACTGACCAAATTAAGACCAGCTGGATTTGAATGTAACACATAAAATTGACTTAATTTCTTTGAATATTCAGCACAGGTTCAGTTCACAATGTTAAGCGTTAACTTAGAAGTTAATTCCATTAATAATCTTGTTTCACTGAAATTAAAGTTGAAAATAATGAATCCTAACTAGGAAATCGACATATTTAATCCTGTTGTATCTTAACTGCTTCATTTAAACTTCCCCTCATCCTGAACGTGCTTGGGGTTACCTCTTAAACATGAATAAAACCTCCTGCAGAAAGGGCGCCCATCTGTCTCAACCAGTTGGATTGGGAGAGAGAAAGAGATAGCAGTGAAAGAAATGGGCTGGAATACCTGCTGCAGGGAAGGGGAGTGAGCAGAGGAACACATTATGTCATCAAAAGCTAGCCAGCAGCCAAAGCTTCTAAAGAATGCACAGTGTGGCAGTTTGTTTGGGCACCAGACCTTATTGTCAGAACAGTGAGTCATAAAATACCTCATATATGACTCCATAAAATCAGCATTGCCCTGAGGAGATTTGGATTCAGTATAATTCGTGCTTGCTGTACATTTAGCCACTTTTAGCCTTCACAACAGAGATGTGAAAAAAGGAAAGTAGTCTCACAAGATGGCTCTCCAGTCCCAGCATACAACTCGGCACGCGCACCTTCACATTCTTCAGCATAATTAAAGGGATGTCTCAGAGTCACCCGTTGTTTCATTAAGAGCTTTGTATCTGAAGGGAATTTCAAATTTCCTCTGGATTTCAAAGGGAGCCAGTAAAAAGCAGCTAATTCTCATCAGAACGTTCGTTGCAGCATTTTGGACCAGCTGGAGGCTTTTTAATCTAAGTGTATCTTAAGGGGAGAACACTCAGTGTGTCAGTGTGGGGCAGAGAGGCTTTATGGCAGGGGCGGCTCATCCATTTAAGAAGATGAAGCAGTGAAAAAAATCACCAGAGCAAAAGCAAGAAACCCATTACAATGTTACTTTTGTCCAAATTAGAGGGAGCGCTGTATCTTCCTCTTAAAACCATTGGAGGTAAAGGTGTTTTGGTCATTGCTTGTTAGTTGCCGTGCTTAATTGATCAATTAATTCCTTTCTGCTGATGAAGACTGCCCCCCCCCCCCAAATTCCTTTGGATCTTTGTTTAAATGTTTTCTATTTTCAATTTGGCTGTTTTGAATAAGGAAGAGATGTGGGAGAAAAAGCTAACTCAACGGTATGGTGACAAGCTAAAAGATTTGTACATTTTGTTTATTGCAGAGTCCCCATCCGCCAACAGGAGGCTATTTGATAACACCATAATTTTACAGAATGCCCAAGCGTCGGACAGCGCTGTCTATCAGTGCGAGGCCTCCAATACACACGGAACCCTTCTGTCTAATGCAAACATCATGATTATGAGTGAGTACGAAGGCTTTTCTCTTACTTCTGTTCCACCGTCTTGTTTCTTCAAAGTTGAGGAGCGCGTGTCCTACACAGCGTCTTTGTTCCAGGGTTAGTGTGGACATTCAAAGACTTAAAAGGGAGTCATTTAGAAGCGGCTGACTCATGCTGGCACACGTACAAAAAGCAGCAAGGAGCCTAAGGATGGAGAGCCGTATGATTGTCTCTTCCCAGCTGTTTAAATTCTAAAAATGCCACCCTACATTCTTATGTGGCCATAAGACAAACATGTGCTGCCTTAGAAGAACAGGTAAACTTCCAAGCACAGAAAGTTCCTTTTTTTCATAGCTCTGTGCAGACAGGAGACTTTTGCACCCTGTGACAGAGGAGTTAATAAAGCTGGGAGCTCTCTGAATCCCTGTTTTTGCCTCAGTAAACAGTTGAGACTGACTATTTTAAAGCGTGGATTTGGCTACAACTGATAAAGTTCCCATGCTCAACTGAATTATTACTCCATTGTTTTCGGCTTTGATTTCATTTTCACATTTGTGAGAACCTGACAACTGTTGTTTTCCTCGTTACATAACAGAGCCCTCAATTAACACACAAGTTAAGCAGCTATCCAGTCACCTCAACCGGCACACACTCGTGCCTCATTTTAGGCTTTCTTTATCAGTTCAAAAAAGTAATTTTAACAGCCAAATCTTGTTTGGTTAAGTGGTTGGATTTCCAAATTCTGCTTTCTAAGCAACCTGACACTTCTGCTTGGATTGTGCTGCTGCTTGTTTCAGATCTACAACCTATGATTTTGACCAGGGATGGGGAGGATTACTCTGCAGTAGAGGGGATGGGAGTGGTGATGCACTGCAAAGTCTTCAGCTCTCCTCCTTCAACAGTCACTTGGTAAGTGTGTGGTTTCCTTATCGCTCTGTACACCACCAGAGAGCAGTAGATCTCCCTTTCTGCCAAGTGGCCTGCCATTTCTTCAAAACAAGACAAATTAGCACAGTCACTTAACTGTAATCTTCTATTTGTCTACTTTTTGTTTCCATTGCTGCCCGAGTGTTATTTTTTTCCGTTCAAATGGCAGCTGTGTTAAACATGCTTTTGACAGCTTCACTTTGAACTTTAATCAGTGTTATTTTTCCTTAATGTCTTGCAGGAGCAAAGACAACTCCTCTGAATCCATAAAAGGCCCCATGTTTACAGTTCATGATAATGGCTCACTAGAGGTCCACAGTGCAAATAAAGGCGACACCGGACAGTACATGTGTTTGGCAAAAAACACAGAGGGATCATCCGCCATTAGTGCCACACTTTATGTGAAAGGTAAACATTTTGACCATTAAAAACATGTTGCAGTTGCTTATAGCCATTGCAGTGTAACTAACCCGCACTTCCTGTGGAAGATCCCACCAGAATAGTGGCAGCCCCAGTGGACCAGCAGATCTTAATAGGTTCCACAGCTCAGCTCTCCTGCCTGGCAGAGTACGACAAGTCCTTCAACAACGACTTTGAGCTCCTGTGGGAAAAATATAATGTGGAGATAGCCCTCAACCTTACTGAGAATTCAAGGTAGGATACTGAGTTCTGTTGATTTCTTTTCAAAACATTGCAGATTTAGTAGGTTGTTTTTCTTTGCAGTTTGGTGCTCAGTGCTGTTAAAATGCGTCTCTGTTAACAGATACGTTTTTGACGATGGCCTTCTTCACATCGTCAACGTGAGCCACGGCGACCAGGGTGTGTACACCTGTGTGGCGAAAACATCAGTGGACCAGGACACAGCCTCAGCCCTGCTCATGGTCTTAGGTGAGTGAAAATACGAGCACTCTTTCTACTCCTTGTCAAAGGCTCGGAGGCCCCCAGTGCAGGATTCACCCGCAACACTTTTGTGAAATGTCAGAAAGAGCAGTTACAAGCAGCCTGCCAAGATACCAGGGGAACTTCATAATCAAACAGACGCAGTGATTCAGACCGTTCCGCATCCTCTGACTCTATGATGGTTTGATAGAACGTTTGCTCATGTGGCCTTTTCTCGCCGCAGAGATAGATGTATTTGTGATTTCTCAAAGCCATGCCGTTGTGATGATTTTCAGACGTCCCAGACGCACCGCAAAGCTTGGTCCTGTCTGAGCAGAAGGAGAAGGGCAGAAGTGTGAAACTGAAATGGATCCCCGGGGACGACCACAACAGCTCCACCATAGGTAAAAAAGGAGCATCCATGTGTACCGGTGTCTGCGCCAATACCAGTCGTAAAGCAGCACTTGCAACAGCTTTGTTTGATACCATCTTGTACAATATGAATTCATTATTGATTCACCCAAGCATGAAGTATGATTTGTCTCTCAGAGGAGCCTCCAAGCCAGGAGCAGGGTCTGAGGAGTGTTGTGCACAGCTGGTGGTTAGATAAGCAGCCTGGAAGAAACGGAAGCAGCGTGAGAGCGCTCTGATCGTCTTTATGCCTGTCAACAGAGTTCATAATTGAATACCAAGAAAACAAATGGGAGCCAGGCAACTGGAAGGAGGTGCACCGTGTACCTGGGAACCACAACTCTGCCATCCTCAAGCTGCACGGCCACGTCGACTATCGCTTCCGCGTGTACGGGGTGAACAGCGTTGGGGCGGGGCCCCCAAGCGAGTCCACAGAGAGTTACACAACCCCCCCGAGAGGTCCGAGCTCCCCTCCTTTCAGTGTTTATTACACTTTTGATAAGGTCCTCCTTACCTCCAGAGCTGCCAGAACTGCTGCTCTGTGAACTTTAAAATACTCAGACCCGCCACATAATTGAATCCACTCTTGTTGAAAATCTCCCCTCTTGTGTGGCCCCTTTCACAGGAGATTTCTTCCACTAACAATGCTGACAAAATCTATATTCTTTTTTTTTTCTTTTCGCACAGCCCCAGACAAGAACCCAGAGAATATCAAAATCGAAGGTCATTTGCCACATGAAATGAATATCAACTGGCAGGTAAGAAGCAGAGTTTGGTCTTTTATTGTCCTTTTTGTTCATAGAGAATTCTATGAACAGTCATAGAATTTTTCCCAGCAAACAGATTAAGTTTCATCAGCGTCTCATTTTGCAGTTACCAATAATCTAAGAAATGGATTAGGAAACTGATATCTTATTCTGCAGCTCAGATCTTTGGCAAAAGCTCCTCTGCAGGTATACCCTGAATAGGTTTCTCCTAAAAAAAAACTGTTCCTTTCTTTTATTAGAAAGAAAGGCTGTGGGGATAAAGTCCCCCTTTAATGTTAACAGTAATACATTTGCTTTTATTGTAGAAGATTAATCTCTCCTTCACTTTTCATCTGGTTTCCTTGTCATGGTATTGAAGCCCCTGAATCCTTTCATGAGCTCCCTCACTGTTAATGATTTGCTTTCAGGGATAATGGCGCCTCATTCTTTTTCTCACGGCCTGCCTTGTGTGAGGAGAACTATCTTTTCATCGCAGTATTACAGAAAGCTCTGTATCAAACGAAAGCCTTGCTGCTGGAGCAGGTCAATAGTTCCATTGTTTTAGGACACACCCAGATGAAACACAGCCAGTGTTCCACGCACAGCTCACTGGGATTGCTTGTCATTTTAATCCCACAGAGGCAGTGACACTAAGTGGTGAAATACAACAGGCATCTTATGCAATTGTGAAAGTCACAATGAAACTTTGAACGCATTCATTCTCCCTCTGAACTTGTACCATCTCCCCACTCTATTATCCAGCCCCTGTTACCCATCGAGCAGAACGGCCCCGGCCTGGAGTATAAGCTGAGCTACAGACGGCAGGATGTAGAGGAAGACTGGAAGGAACACACTGTGAAGAGGCACTCGTTTGTGGTCAGGCACACTCCCACCTTTGTGCCATACGAAATCAAGATCCAAGCCAAGAACCATCAGGGTTGGGGCCCTGAGCCCAAGATAGTGACTGGCTACTCAGGGGAGGACTGTGAGTTGCCATATGTTTTTTAACTGACTTTTTAGTCATAGCTGCGCAAACAAACACTTTTCTACTGGCGGCTAATGAACAGTTCTGTCAAAAATTGCTGATCCATCTGCTTTTACTTTAAGTTTCTGTTTATTTTAGCCACACTTTGGCCTCCTGAAGGTCTCTGAGCTTCTCTTTGGACACTGGCTGCTTTCTCGCAAATTTTCAGCCGAACACACTGGCATCTGAATCATTTATTTATAAACAAGCTGCCACACATGGGGACAGAAACAGTTATGTCCACATATTAGAAGAAAAAGGGATCTGTACCTTTTATGCGTTTTGTCACAAGCAGCCTCTTACAAGCCTCTTATTTTTTCAGTCATATCAACAAAACATGTCAGAGTGATAGACATAAAGTGATCTATTTTACAGAAATATCTAGCTTCCCAATAATCTATAACATAAAAATATGTTGCAAGTGGAGGATAAAAGAAGAAACACCAAGCCTTAAAGTGTCAAGCCTAAAAAAGCAGCTACAGCAGATGAATCCAGGAGAAACAGTGTCCGTGGGAGGGTGACTGTCTTTCTTGAGGAAGGGATTTGACACAAGAGGCAGATGGAAAATAGGCTTTAACAGCTTTTATAAAGGGATGAATCTTTTTTAAAATTAATTAATGAACTCTTTTTTAATTTGTTTTGTTTTTTCCAACAGCTCATGTTTTTGCATATCACAAGCAGAGAGTTGCCTTTTTTCCTAGAATGAGTCTCTGATCTGCTTGTGTGCTCCATTTTTTTGTCTTTAACCAGGAAGATACTCTGTTGCAACTTCCCGTAATTGGTCTGAAGTCCATACTATCCAAAAGCCTGGTTTAACAACTGCCAATGTCTCTTTTTTGTTGCGCATACTTGTAGGTGTACTCCCCAAACTCTGGTCTAAATCTAGTTTTCCACACATGCATATTCAAGGCACAGAGCTCAGACCAGTGGAATTTAAACCCAAGCCGTTACTTCAGTAGTTCCTCACAAGAACAGCAGCCTGAAAAGAAGTTTACTCTTTTTGCTTTGTTTAGCATTCTTCTGGACTTGTCCCCAGGAAGTCACTTCAGGTTAAGACACTTCATAAATATCCTGTGCTTTCTCCAATGTGGTGATGTTTCTACCCATTACCTGACCTGTTTAATCCTCCTCCGTTACTCGTAATTGTTTGCTCCTTTCTAGAGCTCTTTCCACATAGCCTACATGTTACTATGAACAGGTGAATGTTAAATCTAGTTAGCTGTAGTTTGTCTTGTTTTGGCCGATCATCTCTGTTTGGACTGTTCAAATGAAAGTCGTTTTTAAAAAAAACATACAGTGCACTCTCACCCTGCCAGATGATTAACCTGTTGTTGATTCTGATGTGTTTACCGTTCCAGTTCCCTCTGCTGCACCTGAAGATGTAGCTGTGGAGTCGATGAACAGTTCAGCGGTCAGGGTTACTTGGACACGAGTACACAAAGACAAGTTGCACGGACACCTGGGAGGCTATAGGGTAAAACCCAAGAAACTTAGCTTTGCTTTTAGACCCAGTTTAACAGGAATGGCCCTGACCTGGCCCAGAACGTTTGCCTCCTGGCTCATTGCTCTCCCTGTGATGTCACCAGAAAAAATAAACCCACAACAGCTCATTCAGGTGCACGTGGATGACGTTTAACCTGTTCCTTTTTATTTAGATAAACTGGTGGCGTCTGCGTAGTCTCGTTGACACTAAGAAAAGCCACGGAGACAAGCATACACTAATGATCCCGGGGGACCGGAACCATGGCACTGTGCCGGGACTGACGCCCTTCTCTGAGTACAACCTCATTGTAATGACCTTCAACGGGCGGGGCAACGGTCCAGGCAGCCATCCCGTCAACTTCAAAACCCCAGAGGGAGGTAGGATTGTGGAAAAACAGCATATCGATTCACAACTACTGAAGAGAAAATCTAACAATAGGCAAGGAAACTGGGTTGCTGCTTAGTGTGTGTATTTCTTTCTCTGCCCCTACAGTGCCAGAGAAAAATCCTGTTTTCAGGGTCACAGATGTACAGAGGCACTCCGTTTCTCTGCTGTGGGCCCCACCGCGGGAGCCTAATGGGATCCTCACCGGCTACCTCCTAGAGTACCAACTTAGTATGTATCCTTCTGCTTCCTATTGATTTTTAATCAATTCAGATGCCATAAAGACATTTTTTTCTTCTGTTCATTTTCTGTTTGCGCCCTCTAGAGAAAAAACTCTTATCAAATCTATCAAATATGACCGGCCATACATTCGAGAGGTTTCCAGAGCGCCAATGTTTGAGAGTTTTAAACCAGTGTGTGCCGCGGGAGCATTGTGAGATAGATTTCTCTAACTTTATTCTACTAAGGCTGCTGTCAGAGTGTGAGGAAGGGAAACATGTCGGAGTGAACATGTTTTCCTGTGCGTCACATCCATGTGCCGTGCTGACCCAGGCCACCGCGTCAGAGTCTGCTGAGGTCCAGTTTTACTGACCCCAGCATGTCTGCACAGCTAGCCTCCCCTGGGGATGTCATCACGAGACACATCAGATGTGCGCGCATGCTTTGCAATGCCGCCCTTAAACAAAAGTCACAACAAAGATAATGAGTCACGTCAGCTAACTTAGTGCAGCGTTTCCTGGCAAATTGAGTTTGATCTGGTGCCTGCACAAAAGAGGGACGAGCGTCACGCAATATTTCAGGAGAGGACGTTTCCGGATTGCCTCAGCAATTAAGCTGATGGGCTCTTTGAAGTGTGACTCCCCCCTATCATCCCAACCAAGTCTCCTTGACTGGAATCATGTGCAAAACGCTGAGGATAATTTAGACAGCTGTTAGTTTGTCATTGGCCACGCCAGCTCCCGTGCAGCTGTTTGGGAGCCATCCTCTCAGCTTTCAGGCTTCTGTACATTTGGGGCCGAAACAAGCTGTTTAACACACTGAGCACGGCAGATTCAGCAGTTTCAGATGGAAACCATTAAACTAACCGGCTTTGATGTTAGACAGTCTTTCTGTGTGCATCAGGGTGTTCCTGAAAAAAAGAATAGCTTTCTAGGTAAACTTCATGTCACGGATACGGAACAGCAGATTTTTTCTTTGTACCACTTTGTAGTGGTGATCAAAGCGGGTTATTATGCTGATGCAGATGCCATTATTTTTATGTTATTGGTTACCTTGTGAATTAGCATTCTGTCTATTTATGCTGATTGATCTTAGCACCTTTTGAACACTCACACTGCTCTGAATTTAAATCTTGGCCCAAGTAGGAGGTTAAAATGACCCTGGCTTCAGTTCTTTCTACTCATATTTCACTGTTATAGAGTCTTGGTATGTTTCACGCCTCACATTGCCAACCATATTTGGCCCACAAGGCTGAGAAACACTTGGAAATGCTGTTTGTTTGTAGCAAGTGTAGGAGCCAAAATGTGCTGCCCCCAGCCAGCTCTCTCTATAAGATCTTGTGAGCAAGCTGTCCGACTAAAGGGTCTTCGGAAAAGGAGGAAAATAATGCATCAAAATGATGGAAGAAAAATGCTTGTGGTCTATCTACTTAATATAAGACTTTTTTGAATAATTACCCAAAAACATAGTTTTTTTCTCTTGAAACAAATCTAAACTACAAACACATTATTTCTACTTACACAAGGGCGGTGTCCGGGCTGAAGGGGAAGCTCACTGATACATTCCTGTCACCGTTTCTGTCGCCTCCTACCAGAGAGACGTAGCACCTCTTTCCCAACAAAGGTCACCCCAACACCTGCTGTGTTTGTTTTCGTTGCAAAGAACAGAAATGCCACCTCCCCTCCTACTGGGCTGATTTATGTAGTGAAAAATTAGACCACAACGCTGCCGAAGACAAGGCAGGCACTGAGAACAGCCAAAATGTTTTAAGTGAAATGCTAATAACTTCTTAAAGGGGTATTTTGTCAAATAGTGATATGTTATCTCTCATGAAGCCAGGTATAAAATCAAAGTTAAGTTTTTCTTTTCTTGTGTTCTTTAAAAAAAAAAAAGTAAATGACACAGATGAAGTGGGCCCCGTTCAGACAGTAGACATCAGCAACCCAGGCACCACCAAGTGGGTCCTGCGTGACTTGGAGCCTGTGAGCAGATATAAGTTCTACCTGCGTTCCTGCACTTCGGTGGACTGCGGGCCGGCCGTCAGCGAGGAGTGCACCACCATCCTGGAAACAAGTGAGTCACAGAGGGCCTAGACCGCCGACTAACCAGACTGTGGGCTCAGGGTTAGGCGCTCGGGTATAGGCGCCTTAGCATCATTTCCTGAGCCTGGTTCCGGGTTTCCAAAACAGGAGAGTAGAAACTCAGCTGCTCGTCTTTTTCGCCACCTTAAACTGCAGCGTTGTGACATGATCCCAGGCAGCAACGCTTTTCATATCTCCAAGTCAGATTTCTGGTCCTAAACAATCTGACATGGCTGTAGACGTTTCCATTTGTCACCGTCTTGAGAGAAAAAGTGATAATTGATTGGACAAAGTGGGAGCCATGAAACCCCCAACAAAAAAAAAAAAAAACTTTGTTCAGGAAGGAAACTTGCAATGAGGCGACTAGTAGGATATACAGTCTTTCATTCTTAAATAAACTAAGGCTTTTGGCTTATTCACCCCACATTCAGCTTTTTTGGCTGCTGTGTTTTGAGCAATTTACTTATCAATGGAGATATAGGAACCCAGTCTTGCTGAAGTGTAAGAAAATTGAGTGCAGATACTTAGAGAGTAAATAGCCGTGTGTTGTTTTTATCCAAATGTAGCCCCAATAAATTTAGCGTGCAGGAGCTGATGATGCAGCAATTACTTAGTGCTTACGAGAACACTCCTCACAATCACAAAAATATATTTGATTGGCTCTTAGGGGTGTTTATTTGTACTTTGAAAAAATTACAGTTAGATTTATTTTTTCTTTGAACTTTTTTTCCACGTAGTAACTTGTTTTTCTTTTGAACTGTCACAGCACTTTCTGTGTGTTCCTTACATTTTGGAATCATTTCACTGAATGATCCCCTCTCATACGCCACTCCGTTCAGAAGTGATTGTACCGTGAGGGTGATGCTTTTGTCTTTGAACATGTATGTCTTCCTTGCCATCTAATGCTTGTCCACTGTGTCTTTTTACTTTTTTTTTTCATTTTTCCTACAGCTTCAGTTTTGGCCACTTCCACTGTTGATCCCAGTATGTAGATACATGACAGTGTAGTACATGAAAATGGCTTACCAACGCTCTGTATAAACATATTACTACTGAAAGTGCCTTTTTTTTTATTCAATATGTTTTTAATTGCGTCCAGCGTTGGTATGTCATGTTTCATTTGTGTTGATGATTTTATAAACCGTTTGCATGCTTTAGATGTAGCGATGTGAACAGGTGTGCATGCTAAGGGCCTGATTTTCCAACAGTTGGATGCATTTTATTTAACAGCTCTGAGCGCACGGCTCCTCTGTAGATAATTGAGTGTATCTGCTGTTTGCTTTTGCCATCGGCAGAGAGCACTCAACGCCTCCTTTCATTTATAAAATGTCATCCTCTTCACAGAGAAAGTTTGTGGTTTTCCTCTCCCAATAGTGATGGTAATGAGCTAACTAATTATAAATTGATATAAATCTTGGCTCATAAGCAGCCTTAAACGACTGTTGATTTTTATCCTATAAAATGGCCAACCCTGAGCGACACATCTAACTCGGGCTGATGTAAAAAATGGTGCTTATATAGCCAAGGAATATCATCACACATCCCTCACAAGCCTTCTTCTTTTTTTTTTTCGAGTCAGTCTTTTTCAAAAGGAGTTGATTTTCTTTTAAATCCTATATATAAACCACAACATCTCACCTGTGTGCGCTGGTAACATTTAGTTTTAAGCAGTAGTTGTGTAGTTACTCATGTTTAGCCAAGAATTTAATGTGTGCTAACAATAGAACGTAGCACTTGTGCGCTCACTCCTCTCATTTTCATTTTTTCACACAACTCAGCCTCTTTCTCTCCTCCAAGCTCTCCAAAGTCTCAAGTGAATTTAGGTAGACGGAATGGCCACAGGAGGCAAAATCATATGAATAGCACTGAAGGAAAAAATATTCAACAATTAGTTTTATTCCTTTTGGTAGCAAATAAGTGAAATGAAAGAAACATTTCTATTTTGCAGTTAGCTGGCTTTAATATCTTTGCTGCACCACAGGGAAATCTTGGATCCACGATCCATACCCCCCAATCCAGCAGTGTGGCTGCAGAGTGCAGTCACTTGAACAGGACAAATATGTCTAATTGTAAGTGATTGATTTGTTGGGCCCCGGTCCCGCCTGTACACAGCAGTGTATTGACCCAACAGTCATCTGAGATTTCCGTGTAATCTTCAATTGGGTAAACAGCGGCACAGCTTGGGGACACGAAGTTGTCTGGGGGCATCTTAACTGAGAGAACACAGTGAGGAGAAGCGTCCTTCTGGGCCGAGTCAAGAAGGTGTGAGCTCATACTGGGAGGCTGATATTTACAGGACACTGAGATAAGTGGATAAGAGGAGGACCCTGAAAGCCCCGATCCGAATATCTCCTGCATCTGCCTTTACACCAAAGGTCTGTGACATTGAAGGGACGTCTTCCAGGGCATCAGCCCCCCGCTGCCCGAGCAGCTGCTTTGTACAGCATTTCATAGCAGGCTGAGGAAAGAGGTGACAATGCACAGATATTTTTAGTCCACGATGCCAGTAGAAGTCATCACACAGTTTCAGCGAGCGCAGTTATAATATTTCCAGCCCAGTCCATCAACATTAGAGATGTAATGTCAACAGTGGTGAAAGGGACAGACAGGTGTCCCTATGAACGGAGGTATCACCAGAACAAACACATTTTCCTGAGCTGGAGAGGCCTGTTTGCCATGTTGAAACAAAGTGGACCATGCTTTGTTAACAACTTATAAGTTTCCCATTCTAATGACGTGCAAAATAAAATCAATGATCCCTTGATTTATTTTCTTATAAGGGCTTGACTGAGAATAAATCGGATATTGATTTAAAAATAAATCAAATTTGAGTAGAATTGTCAAACCTCACTTGGAAACAGACTGTTAATGTGCTAATTATTGTTGTTTTCCAGGCCTGAGGTAAAATAATTATTCAGCTGACTGAGTGATGTGATTATCTAATATCTTCTCACACGTCTGGGAGAAGAAAACAAACATGCGACAAATATGAACGAAGTTTAAATTTTCAAATGGAAAAATTAACTATCGTGTTCTCTTTGTTCTTATTTAAGACTGCGAATCAGACAAAATGGTGTCCAAACGGATTTTAGGCCCGGTTTCTCATTATCAACACAGTGATGCGAAGTAGACCCTTTAGAGGCTCCTGAGAAAAGGATCAAAGAAAACCAAAAATATTCTAAAGCTGTCATTGAGCTGTTTAGTAACATAATTAAACCGTGTAGTAACATAATTAAACTTTTCAGTAACATAATGTTTTTTAGCAACATCATCAGCAACACTAGTTTTAGCCGAATGAAACACAGCCTGTGCAGTCCATTCTGCCAAATCTAACTGGCAAAACATAAAGCAACATCTTGTAACTTGGAATGACAACACCATTTAACACTTCACATCTGTTAGCGTCTATTTTGTCCTTCACTAACTCTTCTTTACTTCTTACAGAAGAAGTCCTGCTGAACGTTAGCTCAGCCGTTAGTGACAGCTTTGCAAATATCAGCTGGATATCACAAGGAGAGCCAACAAAGTTTCACATTGCGTATAAAAACAAGCGTAAGCTCTTCTCCACAGTCTCTGTTGTAGAGCAGAGTAGGCAAGTAGCATCTGTGGTGGCGCTGTGTGTCAGTTCTCTTCGTCATTTAGTCACTAGTTGTTCATTTCCGTGCATACTCCTGAACATTCCCCCCCTCCTCCCGTCTGCACAGGTGAGGGTCACTGGAAGATATCAGAGGCCTTAAACACCTCTCAGACCTTCCACATCATTGGCGGGCTTGAACCTGACACAGAGTACATTGTGCGGCTGATTCCCAACAGCTGGGTTGATAATTCTAGCATTTACGAGGACGTTATCACGACCGGGTCGACAGGTGAGGAGGGAGCCAACAGCGACGAAAGAAAAGTAGAACTTTTTAGATGCCCTTCGAAAAATGTGTTCCCTGAGTGTCCTTGAGCGGAGTCTCGAGCCGTGGCGCGCAGCCCTTCACGGTGTCGCTAGGATTTGATTTAGCCCACCAAGAGGAATTACATTTGTTCAGCGTTCCTTGCTTGATTAATTAGACAAGCAGGATTAGCTGTTTAATATTAATATTGGAGTGGTTCCACCTGCAGCTCGCCCCAGCCGCCTTCCGCCCGTGCGTCAGAAAGACTCTGTCAATGTAAACATTCAATCAAATGTCCCGAGGAAAAAGGCCAAGGCGTGTCAAAGTCACGGGGTGTCGTTCTCTACAGGTCTGGCCAGCATCCATGGAGGAATATCAACCCAGGGCTGGTTCATCGGCCTGATGTGTGCCATCGCTCTGCTCACCCTCATCGTGCTGGTCGCCTGCTTTGTCAACAGAAATAAAGGAGGAAAATATTCCGGTAGCTGCTCACTTACTAGCACACATACACACATACCCACCGACCTGCATGCATACTAATTGCTACTTGGAGCTTCATTTTATTTCCATTTTGTTTATTTGTTCTCTTGAAAGAAATGATCAATTGCCCCCAGAAGCCATTACAGGAGCACGTAGGACTAATTTTATTCCCCACTGAGCATAAACATTTTAATGCAAATTTCGACATAAACAAGGAAGCTGTGCTGATGAGGAAAATGAGCATTTCTTCCATTTTTCCAGCATGTTCAATTTTGAATTATTTAAATAAGCAAACGGTCCAAACAGTGAGCCCCAAGCCAGACCAAAAGCCAATTCCACAACATAAGGACATAAAACTCTCTGCTGGCTCCTCTGTGGGGGGAGTAAGAGTCATCAGCTTTATTAGTCCCCACAGCTTCTAGTTATTACTTTAACCTCACATCAATAGCTCTGACAACCTCTCCTACTATCCTTTTTTACTTGTGCTATTTGTGGCCGTGAATTGAAGTTCATTCACTGTTAAGCTTCATTTGTCTTGAAAATGAAAGTGTGTTTAGTGTCAAACAAAGTGCCCCCAACACAGGCCAAAGCTTTTTGTAGACTCCCCCGACTTGTCAAAGGCGGGCATGTCATTTCTATTATTAAATGTAGGAAACACGTCGCACTCACATCTTCTCTGGCATCTCCCTCTCGGGGAAGTCACTGATCTCTTCTCTTTTATTTGCGAGCAGTGAAAGAAAAAGAAGACCTTCACCCGGACGTGGAGTCCCAGGGCATGAATGACGACACATTCTGTGAATACAGGTAAGCCTCACACCCCTCACCGTCCAAGCGTTGTCTCTCCACCTCCACGCATGTGAGCGTGTGAATTCTTTCCTCCTGTTGGCTGTCTTCTCCTGCCATTAACTCTGTCTGCATTTCTCCTTTCGCTGAAAAGACTCCCCAGAATCCACGAAGTTCACACCGAGTCTCACACCTCCTCAGCCGAAGGCATTTGATGGATTGAGTAACCACATAGTATGTGATAAACAGCATTAGCATTGGCAAGCTGTTTACACATCAGCGTTGTCAGAGTGGTAGCTCCTAGATTCAGTCCTGTGTTTGTGCATAGTGGAAAGTTAGCATCTTAAAGAGAGCCAGTGTGTGTCTCCGATGTTTCTGTTTGTGTGGAAAGATCTGAGCTCTGACTGCCCAGAACCCCGCAGGAAGCTTAAAACCAATCACTATAATTGAATGCGGCTCGTCTCCAGGGCAGTAACATCGTGGCACGTTTCATTAATGCTTTAGCAGGCCTATTCATAACGGGCTGCCACAGTGTGAGTCCCTGTGTAATTCTCCAATCAGTGGGACCTGCACAGCACAACAAACACTGCTGTGATAAGCTCAAAGTGGCTCAGTGTGACGGCATTTACATTTAGTCACTTTAGGATGCTATCAAGTTTTTACAAACTACGGCCAAGTATGTTGGAGTAAGCTTTAAAAAAGTGCCGCTATATCCTTATCTCACAACAGAAGTTTTTAGAAGAAGTCAAAATATTAAATGGAATGGACCCGCTCAATGCAAATATTTTTTGGAATCATTTATGTGTTAAAACCTAAAGAACCCATCTAGTAAAAGCAGACCAGTAAATTTTGTTTGCTTTCGAGAAAAATAAAAAAAAGGCACGATGTCCAACCCAAGGATGATAGCCCAGTGATGCTATAAAAGTAGCATGAGTCTATGAAAAGTATTTTTTTAAGTTATTTGAAATGCACTTCAAATTGTTTTTGTCTTTCCTTTGTCTTGTATTGAAGTGCTATCCTTTTATATGTATAGAAGTTAAACAAGTTCAGATCAGTGAAGCCTTACAGAACCTTTTTGAAAACTTTTTGGGAAGCTGCATGTTGTGCGCTGGTCCTCCTTTTGAATTTCAGTAACAACGCAGAGAACATTGCATATAATGGTCTTTCATTTAAAATTCATTAGGGAACCACATGTGTTGGCTCAGTTTAATGTCCCCCTCAGTATCTCATTTGTCTTCCAGTTGTCACTTTGTCAAACGCATTGATGCTTGTGTACTGCAAGTATTCATTTTGTCTCAGCAAGTGCATCGTCAGGATGATCTCCCGTTAGTCATCCAGAGGTAGAAACTAATGTCAGTCTCTGACGCTCACTGTTGAAGCAGTGATGGCTCGTGGCCGCGCTCCCATCCTCTTCAATAAACAGCAGAGTGAAGCCATGAGTGAAATGAGACGGTTCTAAATCCACTGTGCTTCTCTCACAGCGACAATGACGAGAAGCCCCTGAAAGGCAGCCAACGCTCTCTGAGCAGGGAGATCAAAGCAGGGGACAGCCGCGACAGCCTGGTGGACTACGGAGACGAGGACGGCCAGTTCAACGAGGACGGCTCCTTTATCGGCGAGTACGCAGGGCGCAAGGAGAAGCGGGCGTCCGCCGAGATCAAAGGCTCCGTCCAATCCCAGGCGTGAGGAGCGGACCAGCCACTCATCCTCCCACTGACACTGATTCATTACACCTGCCGGAAGGAACAAAAAAAACAGGAAGAAACAGACATTATCCTCACCCAGCACACGTTTGGTGTCAAACGTGGTGCGTCATTGCGATCTGCACACTGCCGCTCTCATTCTGCAAAGCTCTTTTTTTCTTATGTTGCAACACAAAGACCATTACTAAATCCGGTGTATATATAGTGTATATTGTATGTGCCGAATGTCTTTTTTTTAAATAATAATCACACAAAATTTTAGAAGACTTGTTTTTTTTTATCGTTTTCCTTTTTGCATCAGGCTCACTTTTGTTTGTATAAATGTTAGGAAAATGTCACGTCACATTCCGTGTCGCAGGTCACAGACGAGTCGGGCAAACATTACTGACCTTTTTATATTCAAAATCCACTCATTAAATACAATGTAAGGTGTGTATAAAAGTTTGGTTATTAACTTATTTCTCTTTTTTGGTGATTTTATTCTCGACAAAATAACAAGAAAGGTCACATATCATACCGTTTCCCATGTGTTATGATCCTCTCCGAGATGTAAGACGGAAATATTATTCACTGATAACCCTTTGTTTATGGGCATGTAAATCCTTCAGATCAGTTACAAAGTTCAGATGTAGAATACACTCAGGTGAATCCAGTTTTTAGTCGCCCTGGAACGGGACAGCTGCAGTCGCTTCTGTTCCAGAGTGAGGCCTGAGGTTTACAAGAAACCACAAGCAGCTCTGGCTTATTTCCACGTAACCTGATTTACCCATTTAAAGCATCCTCAACAGGGCTTCCGTGTCAAACTCGAAACAGGTTCAAATGTACCCGGCTGCATTAAGACACGACACGATTCACGGAGTGCGATTCTCGATTCCCAGCTCAGCTCATTCACGTGGCTTATTCTACATAGATGCGCAAAATTTGTCTGAAATGTCCATGCTTCAAAGTAACCTGTAAACTTTTTTTGATCCTCAGAGAGGCCAGTTGTTGCTGACAAGAGAACAGTATAGACCTTTTTTTCATGCCTTAAACACAATCGGAAACAGACATCCTGTCCTTTATAGTGGTACTCTTTTTGAAGTTTTAAAGGATGTACATAAATATAAGAACTGCTAATACAGAGGAAATACTCTGATCTTTTTTTGTCTTTTGAGAAAAATCCTGCTCCAAAATATCATATCCTACATTCCCCATAATGAGGAAGGGAAGTTTTCAGTTACAAAGTGCCAGACCTGACCAAGAAGAAGAGTTTTTCAATCAGATTCCCTCATCTGGTTGCATGATGCCTGTATCCACACCCCCTTGAGTCAATAGCCTGCCGTAAACTCTGAAAAAGCCTTACCATCATGGCACTGCCATTAACAAAAATGAAAAAGGAACATTAACTTTAGCATCACGATGAAGAAAAACTGCAGTGTTTTTGTATGGATTCAGCCATTGTATGTTATAATTGTTAATTGGTGTTTTTTTTTGTGTTTGTTGTTGTTGTGTGTCATTAAATTGCTTTACTTTCCTACACCCTGGTTCTGCTCCGTCTGTCGGACTGCATCGTTAAATTCCAGATACCTTCACCCTGTTGGTACTTGCAGATAAAACCACCAGGATGGGTAAATCTTTGTCTTTCCCACAGCACAACAGCTGGATTTGAGCAGAGATAAGACACGCGGGAAAAAGTCTTCACTCACTCCAGATAAAATATAGGGGTTGTTTGACAAGCCTTCGCCATTTGCAGGGCAACTTAAACAGACCTGTTTCACACGTATTACCCCCAACTTGATAATGGACCCCCTGGCTGTCATGCTAAAGGTCCTCAGCTATATCTGGCAGCCATGCCAACATCTGGATGTGTTTGCGTGCTTAAAATCAATGCCGTGGAGGCAATTTCCAGTGCTTAATGTGGTACAGCTTAACGTTTACTGTTCTACCGGGAGAAAAAAGTTATTAAAAAATAAAATAAAAGTATATGGGGGATATGATGTGGGTCCATTTGCATGTGTGCGTGCGTGGCAGTAATGAATGCGTTGACTGCATTAAATATTTAGAATTCAGACTTTAAAAGGAAAAAAAAAGGAAATTAAGGGGGGAAAAAAGGGAAAAAAGGGAAAAAAGAAGAAAAAAGAAGAAAAAAAAGGGAAAAAGAGAAGAAAAAAAAAAGACTTCAGACTTTATTAGTTCATTGTGCAGGTTTAATTGTACTGATCTGAAAAAAAGGTGAGTCATCGTCCCCGCCAGAGTTCGGATGTCGCTTGGCCCCATCCGATTGCGCTTGATTAATGTCCGCTCCCATCCCACACAGATGCTTCCACTTGATGTCCGTCTGTAAGGTCAGCAAAGCTGTCTTCTGGTGTTTACAATTCAGCGTTCGGAGACCTGTTTTCTGGGAGCGGTTACTTTATGGAAATCCGTGCTGCATAGAAAAACTGCTTTGAATTCACATCAGTGACCAGCCAGCAGATTGCTGCAGTGACAGCTTTTTCACAAAGGGAACAAGCAGGGGAAAAAAAGCACCATGGCACGCTGGAGCAGTACGGAACAGTGGTTAGTTGTGTCAGGAGGCGATCCAGATTGAGCCCAATGAGCATATGAGGACAAACTGGAGGAGGAATAAAGAAATAGATGCCGAGAAACTCTAAAGAAAAAGATACATGTCCATACTTTAGTCCATTAGTTTCTATAGCTGTATTTTCTTCCCCTCATGGGCACTGTTTTCCACCTGTGAGCTTCAACATTAGTCAGAAATACTTTCACAGCACCAGGGCTTTGGTGTTCCCGGTATTTGTAATCCAACATGTGGTCTGTCAAAAATGTAGGAAATGTGAAACGTCTGGCCTTCAGGCATCCATAAAAAGTGGTCCAATGCAGTGTGCATTATTGATTATGATACTTTCCAGCGACTGCCTATTTTGCTTTGTGTAGGCTGCAGTTACAAATTTCGTCAACCTAAGTTAAAATGTTGTTTACACAGGTTTAGTTAGATAGGAGACACCATGTAGTTTCCTTATTTCTGCATTCATGTTGTCATCAATGGTCAGCACCCAGGTTAACTTGAAAGAACAGAATGTTTGTGGTCCGGGCAGTCCTCTTTTTATTTCTATTCATAGACGTCAGTAATCACCTTTGAAAATATTTGTCAATAAAGTTTGAAGAACTTGTGTGCTTTATCTTAAGAATGGCAATAAAGCATTACATCATCACAACTTCATTGACTCGTGTGTCGGTGTGTGTTTGTGTGTTTCTGCCTCTATTAAAGTTTTTTAAATCACTTTGGGTTCACCTTTTGTATCTCAGTTGTGGATCTCCTAAGTCAGGAGCAGATAAACTTTCACTTGGAGACTTGAGGATGAAGGAGTTGTTCTGATAATAGACTGTAAGTCAGTGTGGAGGTCATGTTGTGTTTCGCTGTTGGATCTGATGTTCGTCTCCAGTTCAAAACCTGTGTGTTTTGGTTTCACATAGGACTATATTGGACTGCCTTTGAAATGTTTCTGCAGGTAGAACAGTTTGCCCCTACTTTGATGCTGCAGCAATCATTTTTATAATCTTTACACACTTTTTCTAGATGCAAATGTTTTCACCAAACCTTTAACCAAAACTATACTCTGTGAATAAAGACTTTGAGGTATTTGCCTTTATTCCCAAGCATTTTTCTGCTCTCACACAGATACAACACCACTGATCTATCTATATATGTTTTTGCATCTATAGCCCTTAAATCTTTAAGCATTGTCTTCGTACCAAACCTAATTTACTCATCTCTGCCGTATGGAGCATTTTACTTAGTAAAACATTTTGGACAAAATTCAAGTCCACATCAGACCATTTACGCTCATTTTTGTTGTATTTACTGCCTTGCATCAAAACATAAGCCTGTGTGTGACGCAGTATGAATGCCCCTTTGTGTTTTTTACAATGGGTCACACAGTTCAATTAAACAAAATGTCTTTTGGTGAACATCCTTGCAGCAGGTATGATAGAAGGTGAGAAGATATGCTCGAAATAAGAGTCAAGGTATTGCAGCATATGTTAAACCAGACTATCCAATCTCAACACTTACTTATCGCGACCCCAGTCTATTACAAAAGCAATGTCAAAGACCAAAAAAAACATACAGCGTTCGTTCGCACTGCTAATGGAATTCACAGCAGGAAGGGGCGGCACGCCTCTCTATAGGCATGGCCATTTTTTGAGCGATGAATAGAGGAAAGAGAGGGGCTTTGACTTTAAGCGGAAGGAGGAATTTTAAGAGCCATATGGGAGAGAGCTCTTTCCCCCAAACAAAGCACTCCAACCGCGTTTTATTTAAATCAGTAATAAGTATTCCGAAACCCAAATGAACACCAGAATTGCCTGAAAAAGAGCCGCTGCATTAAGTAAAAAGGCAAAAACAGCCTGCCTCGTAAATATCCTTTCATGTTACCAACGGAAAAAGACAAAAAAAAGAAAAGAATGTAAGGCGACATCCCGTAAACGAAGACAATAGTGGATCGGATAATCGTTTCACAGCGTGGCGTCGATGACATTTCCGCAAGCTGCTGCCTTGTGCCAAACGAGCTGATGCTCCCTGACAGAAGTGTGGCGCAAGCTTTGTTTTACGCCGCAAAGAAACAGCACAATGTGTCCCTCACTTGTTAGTTATCTTAGATAAAAGCATCTGTTCAATTCATGCAACTATTGAAACATCTAAGAAAGCATATATGCAGTTAGTTAACTCTGAGCATGTTTGTCTTCATTGTGCTAAACTGTTACTCAGCAGTTGGTTTAGTTATGGTGCCAATATATTTGAAACATGGCATACACA